CGGGAGCCGTGAGGAGGAGGCGGCTGTTCAAAGCCAAGCGTGAGCAAGGTGGGGCGAGGAAACGGTTGTGGGTCACGGAGTCACAGAAGCAGGAGGGTTTGGGTTGGAAGGGACCTTAAAGATCATCCAGTTCCACCCCCCTGCCATGGGCAGGGACACCTCCCACTAGCCCAGGTTGCTCAAAGCCTCATCCAGCCTGGCCTTGAACCCCTCCAGGGATGGGGCATCCACAGCTTCTCTGGGCAACCTGGGCCACTGCCTCGCCACCCTCAGCATAAAGAATTTCCTCCCTATGTCCAATTTCAATGTACCCTCTTTCAGTTTAAAGCCATTGCCGTTTGTCCTGTCACTACAGGTCCTGGTAAAAGGTCTCTCTCCATCGTTTTTATAAGCCCCCTTTCAGCACTGGAAGCTGCTCTAAGGTCTCCCTGGAGCCTTCTCTTCTCCAGGCTGAACAACCCCAACTCTCTCAGCCTGTCCTCATACAGGAGGTGCTCCAGCCCTCGGACCATCTTCGTGGTGTCCTCTGGACCCACTCCAACAGGTCCGTGTCCTTCCTGTGCTGAGGACCCCAGAGCTGGATGCAGCACTGCAGGTGGGGTCTCACGAGAGCAGAGTATAGGGGGGAATCACCTTCCTCAACCTGCTGGTCACACTTCTTGTGATGCAGCCCAGGACATGGTTTTCTGGGCTGCAAGTGCATATTGCCAGGTTATGTCCAGCTTTTCATCCACCAGTATCCCAAAGTCGTTCTCTGTTGGGCTGCTCTCAATACGCTTATCCCACAGTCTGTTGATGTTGAGGATTGCCCCAACTCAGGTGCACTTGGCCGTGTTGAACTTCATGAGGTTTATGAATTTCATGAGGATCCTTGCTGGTATTATTCCCTCGCAGTGTGTCGGTGCCTGGAGACAGCACTGTGCCTGTGCTGTGCAGGAGGCCAGCTGCGCTCAGAGGTGTTTGCACAAGCAGTTAGACAGCAGTTTGAGGGAGACAGTTATTTCCCTCTGGTCAGATTTTGTGAGACTTCAGAGTACTGAGTCCAATCCTGGGCTCCCCTGGACAAAAAACAGCATTGGTGTTTTGGAGCAGGACCGCCAAGCTGGTCTGAAGCTGGAGCCTGTGATGTGTGAGGAGAGGCTGAGAGCGGGATGTCTTCACCCTTAAGAGGAGAAGATGACTGTATCACAGTTTGCAGGTAGGGGTAGAGAAGGTGGAGCCAGGCTCTTCCTGGAGGCTTATAACAAAAGGGCAAGGGACACCTTTTATTTTTCGCCATGAGGATGGTCAAAGACCAGAATGGGCCCAGAGAGGTTGTGGGCCATTTCCTAGGCGCTGTGTAATTTGTGAGAGTAAATGTTGCATCTCCTCAAACATGTGCAGAGAACCTCTCTTTGCTTGTCAGGTCTCTTTGTGCACTGTGCAAAAGCTACACCCTTAGAGGAAGTACTCTGTGTTCTGCTGAACTCTAACTGTCCCAAATGCCTGTTCCATGGAAAGCATGCACGTCTGAAACAGACTATGGTGGGTATAGAAACAAGCAAAGATATGTGTACATGTGACTGTGTACGTGCACTTTATTTATTTCTGCACAAAAATGTACAGGCACACATAGGTAAGTCTTCAAGTCTATTGTGTTGAAGAAAATCCTACTCAACAAGGTGGAGTAAATTCACCTTGAGTCTGTTTCAGGTTGGGGAAAAATAGCTCCTGCAGGCTTTCTGCTATGCAGGTCTCTTCAGATGAGAGAGGGGTCTGAGCGCATGTTTTGATGTACGAGGTGCCAGGTGCTGATGCATTGTTAGATATTCCCTGCCTCCATTTTAAAAAACACTCATCTGTGCTTTTTTATCTCCTCCCAGCTTGCAAGTTAAATTATACTGCTCACCGGTGACTAAGGAATTGCTGTTGACTAGCTGGAAATACAAGTTTTGGGAGAATCACATTGTGAGTTTTTGTTTATTTTAAAATTATCACTTTCCAAACAGTGTTCCTAGGGAAGAAGAACTTTCCCCTCCTCAGAAATGTCTAAATTTTGGTGTTGGTGTTCATACAGTGTTTCAGAGCTTAAGCACCTAACATCAGTATGGCTTTCCTTGCTGCTTGCTATGTGGCATTGGTTTATTGTTATTTAATGTTTAATCTTATTTTTCCCTTCACAAAATTTATCCTTTTGTCTCAACTTCAGCTTTAAATGTTCTCCATCTGTACTATGATCATTTGTGTCACTCCTTCATTTCCTTACTTTGCTCATGTCTCTTTGTTCCTGTCCTTATTTCACTTCCCTTTTGCTTCATTTAAAGTCTTGAATTGCTTGGAGTATGTATAATCTTTTATTTTTCTTCTGATTTTGGAAAATGGACTATCTCTAACATGAAAATATTCTAGTCACGTAAAATCACCAAAGAACTTAAGTATTTTACTTGTTTCCCACTATCTGGAGCCAAAATTCAAGTGCTCAGTGTCATGTATGGGTATGACTTGTAGTTACTTATTTCCTTCCCTTTGCAGATGTGGGCTTTGAAATTGAATGTTTCTTTTCACATTTTACTGTATGTACCTGCATCATCACATAGTGTAAGGATTTTGTTGTATCCCCCAAGCAAGGACAGGAGAGTTTTCTAGTCAAGCGGAAGGTCAAGAAGGACTTCAGGCAAGCTGAAACTTGTTTCCTTGGGGAAGTTATGGCTCAGAGTTTCCTTCAATAGGTTTTAAGCGTGGGTCTTAAACTCCATATCTAAAGAAACTCATGCAAGGGGGACCCAGGAGGTAGGTCTGGGTAAGAGAAAAAAGAGAAGTAGGGGACTTCTCTGTTCACTTGTGAAGCTGAGGGAGAAGATAACTAGTTTTATATGAAGCCTCAAGAAGTGTAAGGATTTAATGATTGGGAGCATGAGCATTCAGGGCTCTGAAGATCCCTTGGACATGTTGGATGTGTAAAGGACCACAGTGTTCATAGGTGACAATTTTTCTAAGCCTGTGATCTTCTTGGACTAACAAAAATAAAACGGGGAGGGTTTGTGGTGGCTTTTTTGTTGGTGTTGGTTAGGTATTTTTATTTTTAAGGTTGTGTCTGTTTTCTTCCCGTATCCCTTGAGTTTAGCCTAGAAGAAAAGGTCCCTGGTGGGCAGATATCCATAAGCTATTAGTCTGTATGAGCAGTAAAATGAAAGCAGGCAGTGCTGGTCCTGACATCCCTGTTTGAGAAGATCTGGGAAGAGATGCCAGAGGTACCACCATTCTAAGACGAAGCACAATTAACACAAATCAATGCAATTAAAAAAATACACATATGTTTGCAGCTGCTGCTCCCAGGAGTGACTGCTGGTAATGGCATGAGCTGCACAGGCCCTAAATCTGAGAGCAGCTGTTGGATGTCTCGTTCACAAGCTTTGTCTTACAATAAATAAGCTTTCTACTTGTACAGTGACTGGGAAATGAATTAACAGCTAATTTGATATTCACCAGACTGAAGGAAGAAATCACAATGTCAGCTTCCAGACAAATGTTTATATGATTTCCAGTCTAACCTTTATTTGTGTGTACAGCATAAGAGGCTCTTTGAATCTGCTGCTGGCTTTAATATTTAAACTATCGAAGAATGAGGGGAGAACTCTGCTGGGCATATTCTCATTTATGGTTATGAAGCTAAATTGTGGCTGTAGGAGAAGAATTCTTCAGGCAGTTTAGATCTAATACTTGACAATTTGTTTTACTGCAGTAGGAAATTTGAGAATTACTGAGAAATGTTGAGCATGCAGAATTTAGATCAGCCTCTTGAGTTTTTTCAGCTTCAGAAATTGTAGGTGATAAAACTAGTATTGATGTTTAAAAATCAGCTCTTGCTAGTGGCTGGAATTTTTAATCTAAAATACTTTTTGACACACATATCTGTGTTTTGGAGCAAGCTCTGGGTTTGATTGATGTTGTGGTTTCTGGTGGAGAAGTCAAATGTTACCACCTTTGTGTGAGTACCAGCTGAAGGGATCTTGTGGAGCTGCCCAGGAATTTGTGACATGGTGTCTTGTGAGTCCACCTAGGGAAACCCAAAGTGCTGAGGAAATCGCTCAGCTGAGAAGCTGGAGGTTATACCTAAGGAGGGGAATGACAGGAGACTTTCCTCTCACTTTGGCTTTTTTTGGGCAGGAGAATTATATACAAATATTGTCTCAAACAAAGGAAAAGAAACAGGAGGATGGGAGAGGAGCCTGCATAGCAGCACTAACCTTGCAGGCAGCCACAGAGCGTGTATGTTGTAGGACTCTTAGTATAGGATATGGCAAAACAGGGAATTAATTGCAGTCTATAGATTAATCACCTCTACACAAACACAGAAATATGTGCTGCATGATTTGTGGGCTCTGCTTCTGGTAATAGGGAACAGTGAGGAGAAGGGCTGCAGCACAGAGACCTGTCCTAGCAAGATCCTCTTGGCTGTTGTAGGACTGGGATATCTTGGGCTTTGCAGTCATCCAGAAGTAAGGCATATGATCCAGCCAGAGAAACCAGAGCTGTTGCTGTTAGAAGTCCAACATGTTCTAAGTGTGTTGTCATGCACAGCTTGATTGAGTTATCCCAATTTAATTTTTAGAAAACATGTAGAAAACTTTTTTCCCACTGGAAATGGAAATTCATTAGTTACTATGGGAAAATGAGCTTAATTTTACACGCTTAGCATTAGACACAGTGGGCACTAAAGATGAAGCGTGAAACAGAGTGTTCAATAGATCCTGTAATGCATTTATTCATTTTGTTGCAGGTTGCATTGGAAGTTGAAACTCCAACTCAGATTTCTTTAGTAGATGAAACATCTGGTGAGGTAAGTTTCAAATAAAAAAGATTTTGTATATTTGTAATGGGCAGTAATACTGTTTAAATGAGCATGGGAAAAGGATCTTACCTGTAACATCCCAAGTAGACAAGCTATTTTTAAAATGTATGTTCCCCTTCTCTCCAAAACGTGCAACCATGTGAATTCTTCTTCTTTCTTATTATCATAGCGGGTTTTTTTTGTATTAGTGGTCTGCAGCTCACACATTGCTCTTGTGATTTTTTTCACTTTCTATTTCCTGGCTTATTTTAACAAACTTTAAGTGCAGGGCTTAAAGATCTGGTAGAGGATCTCCAGGCAAAGTGTATCCCAAGATATATCCATGATGCTGGTGGATACTTGGTGGATAAAAAGCTGGACATGGCCCGGCAACATGCACTCACAGCCCAGAAAGCCAACTGTAGGAGATTCTCCCCTCTACTCTGCTCTTGTGAGACCCCACTGGCAGTGCTGCATCCAGCTCTGGGACCCCCAACATAAGAAGGACATGGACCTGTTGGAGCGAGTCCAGAGGCTGAGAGAGTTGGGGTTTTTCAACCTGGAGAAGAGAAGGCTTGGGGGAGATCTTATTGCACCCTCCCAGAACTTAAATGGGGCTATAGGAGAGATGAGGAGGCACTCTTTGCCAGGGAGTATAGTGCTAGGATGAGGGGTAACAGTTTTAAACTAAAAGAGGGCAGATTTAGACTAGATGTAAGGAAGAAACATCAGCAGCACTGGAACAGATTGCCCAGAGAGATGGTAGATGCCTCATCCCTGGAAACATTCAAGGCCAGGTTGTACAGTGCTCTGAGTAACCTGATCTAGTGCAAGTGTCCCTGCTTATTTCAGGGTGTTGGACCTTTAAAGGTCCTTTCCAACCCAAGCTGTTCTGTGATCTGTGCTTGCTCACCAGGAACCAAGGAGGCAGGACTATCTTCTGGCTGACTTGCTTTTTTGAGCAGCATACAACATTCAGTGATCTCTTCTGGCACGACAGCATGGTTGTTGCTCTTCAGGGTTTGTTGGAATGTGAAGAGACTCTCCATTCAAAAGCAATGCTAAATGCTGCAAGAGGCTGCGGGGAGTACTGTGTTGCTTTCACTATGTTAATGAAAGTACTGGTAGTACTTACTACAGTGTGTAAATAATACTAATGCATCTCTTCCAGAGAGAAGATATAGAGGTGACACTTTTACCAGCTGGTCACTGTCCAGGATCAGTCATGTATGTCCTTTCAATACTCTAAATGTCTCTGCTGAGAAATCTGTCCTATAGAGTTCTCACTAAGTACTGGGTTTTTTTTCCTAACTAGAAAAAGCTAATGAATTTAAAATTCTTACTTGGAGATTATACTGTTGTGGCAGGGCCCACCAGCTTTGATCAAGGTTGGAAAACCACTGTACTGTCTGGGACCTGTCCAGACAGAAGTTGTGGGGCAGATTACTTTTCCCCAAACCTATGAATAACAACTTTCTTGATTTCAACTCTACTTAAAATCTAGATAAAAAAACTGTGATTAAAAAAAAATCCTAAATTTCTTAATATGACGTTAAAAAGAAGGTGCCCAGCTTCCTGGTACAAATGCATAAGAGATTCTTTTGGCTACCAACAGACAGCTGGGCTACCCTCACAGAATCTGTGAGGCTTTTGTCTTCGACTCTGGCCAGCCTAGGCACAGGATATTTTCCACACATTCTGAATCTGAATTACTTGGTTTATCTGAAATTATTCTAGGACCAATTGAGCCCAGTATTTCTATTACATCATACATCAGTGACATAGACTGCTCTGAGGAAGGCAGCAAATCGACACCTGGCATTTAATGCTTTATGTTGTTGAGTTTGACCAAAGTGTTTCTGTGTGCAGGTTTTTGTTTGAAGGTGGAAATGGCACTGTGCTGTACACTGGGGATTTCAGGCTTGCAAAAGGAGAAGCAGCCAGAATGGAGCTTTTGCATTCAGGTACCAGGTGAGGCTTCAGCTATTCATGGGATTTAGAAAGAGTGAAAGGTCACACAGGCACAGACAATTCAGGGATAATGTACTCTTTTTCCTCTTCTCTTTTCTTCTGTATTAAATATATTTGCAGTCAGGCAATACTGCAGTTACAAGCCCCTTCTGACTTGCTCTTTGGAATAGAGAGGAAGAATTGCCTCCTTTTGAAGAGAGAGGAAGTGGTATGTCTTAGTACTGTGATGCACAGCTCACGCTGATACCACATTTCTCTTTCAGAGTAAAAGACATCCAGAGTGTGTATTTGGACACCACTTTCTGTGATCCCAAATTTTATCATATACCAAGCCGGGTAAGTCTAAATAAGCTGGGAGAGGAAAGGTCCTAAAGGCACTAATTAATTAACCACCCCTCTGTTAGGGAAGTCTTGCAAGGCAACGCCATTTTGCATTACCAAATCATAGCACTTTGGAAGTATCTTCAAAGATGATTTACAACATTTTCTAAACTTTTCAGGAGGAATGTTTAAATGGGATCTTAGAGTTAGTGCGAAGCTGGACCTCACTGTCTCGCTATCATGTTGTGTGGCTGAATTGCAAAGCTGCTTATGGATATGAATATTTATTCATAAACCTCAGTGAAGAACTTGGAATCAAGGTAACGTTTCAGTAATTGTTGCTTTAGAATACATCCTCAGGAATGGTTGTGGCCAGTCACTGACCTGGAAATGGCTGTTCAGAGGACTGCTGTGTGTGAAAGATGTGCATGCTTTCATTAACTTCACTTAGAAAGCTACAGTTGTACTCAAAATGAGTTAGCTAGTTGATTTCAGTCTGTAACATCTGGGCTCTCCAGGGAGAAGTTAATCCCCAGTTTTCAGTGTTTACCTCTCTCCCTTTTATCTCGTAAATGATAAAAGCCTTCTCATTTACATATGACATTAATAAGTTAGCAGATATATTCTGACTTTCTTTGATGAATATTCATCCCTCTTCAACACAGGAGGTGTATTTTGCTTGTTCTAGATGTCCCAAGTTACTTTTGGCTAACACTTCTCCACTTGGACATTATTAGTGGGTAGTAGTTGTTTAAATGCCTACCAGCAGTTGTTGAGAGCAGAACCATGTCTGTGTAGTTGCTGCAGCTGCAGTGTGGCAAACACATTGAGGTAACTAAGAGTAAACTCTGCCTTTTTCTAGGTGCACGTGAACAAACTTGATATGTTCAGAAACGTGCCAGACATCCTCTACCATGTTACTACAGATCGACGCACTCAGATTCATGCCTGTCGACATCCTCGGGTGTGTATAATTTTGCAAAGCCTCTGCTAACTTTGCTGTGAAAGCCTGGTTATAGGGGCTGATGTTTTGGTCCTGTCATGCTGATGAAGACTTGGGCCAAATGGTGGCTTAATGGAAAGGAGAGAGAGAACTTTAGTTAGTGGGATGAATTAAAAAAAAAAAAAAGGAAGGGGGGAATATATTAGCTGATGCTAGAAGTAGTTTAATTGTAATTGAAACTTGAAAATTGTATTTTTAAATGAAGTAAGACAAGCAGCAGATCATATCAGTCAGGTATTATCCATTTAAATACATCAAAAGCAGCTCATATGGTATCTTCTGCCACCATGCACTGTGAGCTTGTAGTGTCTGGACTTCCCTTTCCAGGGTGTCTATCAAGCTGAAGGCTCCAGCTTGGAGGAGTGCAGGTAGAACTGGAGATGGCACGTTGGGACATTGGTCTCTGTCATTGATGTGCTTTGTCAGCTGCGCTATGGAAGCAAGATGCAACAGCAGAGTGTTTCAAAGGAGCTGGAAGTGAGATGAAAATTGGACTGGCTAGATACTATGTTGCTCAATTTCTGGGGGAAAAAAAGGTCAGGATTACACTTAATTTTATATTGCATTTGACAGGATGATGACTGCTTTCGAGGGAACAGGTTGCCCTGTGGGATGACTTGCCAAAATGGAACTCCCTTGCACATAATTAGCATCAAACCCTCCACTATGTGGTTTGGAGAAAGGATCAAGAAAACCAATGTAATCGTGAGGTGAGTGTTTGGGCCAGGCACAAACCTGTTGTTTCAGGTGTGTAGCTTGCCTGGCTCTTGTATAACTGAATCCAAATTAAAAACTGTAGGTTGTGCTTGCCTGTTGACTGAGGATAAAGAGCAGTTACTTAATTTTTGTGCCTCCTCTTTTTTTTAGGACTGGGGAGAGTACATACAGAGCTTGTTTCTCTTTCCACTCTTCATACAGCGAGGTTTGTATACTTGTAATACTGAGTATATATTGACTAAAAAAAACGAGTTTTGATTGTTTTGGAGTGGATGACATGACTTGTCACAATTTAAAAAAAATCTTCTCAGTAATAAGACATAACGGATAGGAAGTTCTGGATGCTGAGGACAGAGAAGTTTGTTTTAATATCTCAAGGTGGGGCAGGATTACAAGCCTTTTTTTTTGTTCTGTCTTCTTGAAGTATTGGTTACTGGTACAGTTGTTTTGACTGCCTTTCTATTTTAGATTAGATTACTGTGTAACTGCAATGCTTAAAGCGTTAATTTTGGTTTTCAGTACATTGTTTATCTGCTGTGACTCAGTTTTGGGTGGGCTTGCCTTCTTTTCCTTGCCCCCACATTTAAGCAGAATTTTCTCACATTGTAGCTGCCACTGTTACAACTCTTCTGTGTTGAAGAATAAAAGAAAATTGGTTGTGGCAGCATCCTCTCCAGAATCATACACCTTCATTTAATATGAACTCAATCCAGTTGTCAAAATACTTCTTTCTCCTAAGAAATTGAACTGAAATTGGATTGGTGCAAACAATTAACAAAGCCTTGCACGTACAAAATGGAAATTATTCAGAGCCCTAGGAAGACAGTCCTGTTTTTAAAATCCTGGTTAATTTTTAATCTGCTCTGCCATGCAGAATTTTAAATGGATGTACTAGCACAGTACATACAACATGGCAGCTTTGCTGACAGAATGTGGGGGTAGTGTATTGTAACAGACTCATACCTCCATATGTAAAAAGAGAGGGGTCCTACTGCTCTGTGTAGAGAGGAGTGTAACTGCGAGCTTGCAAGTGCTGATAAAGCCTCAGCTGCAGTGCAGTGCCCCAAACTGGACACAATTCTTCAAGAAATTTACTGTCTATGGAGCATCTAGAAGTCAACAGAGTAAGGCTTGGAAAAAGTGATGTGTTTTGTCATTACTGCCTTTTATAATGGACTGAAGGGAGAGTTCAGGAAAAGTCTCCGAGAAAGGGAACACCTGATCTGCACACCTAGGGACTCAAAGTCCATTAAGAAGAATGCAGGTCTGAAAAGATCTACAGCAGCAAGGACAGTGAAGCAGTGGATCACATTCCCCAGGAACAGGTCTGTCTAACCTTTTAGTTCAGAGACAGTGACCGTCTGTGTAGTAGTTGATAATTGCTGTGTGATGGTTAAGTGAGGCTCAGTTATCAGCATCCTGCCAGACCTGTGTTTTTCTCGGGACCTATCCACTTTGATAGAGCTTGGGTCATAATGGTCTTTACATGAGACAACTAGTAGTAGTTGTTGTGGGTGTACTTTTATCAGTGCTGCCATTAAGTGATATTGTTAACTGTTGTAAGTTGTTAAATTGCTTCTTCTTTTCTTTAATTCAGATTAAGGATTTCCTGAGCTATATCCGTCCTGTGAATGTGTATCCCAATGTACTGCCAGTGGGTGGGACAGAAGACAAAGTTCTGGAAATGTAAGTGACAACTGGCTGCTGGATGGAGGTGATCTGATCTCTGTTCTTGTAAGGAAAACCCCCCTCCTGAATCCCAGCCTCTCAAGCAGGCCTTTTGCTTTACATGTGTGATAATTCTGATTTTTTTTTTTTTTTCTATATTCAGTCCTGCAAACTTCAGGTTTCTGAAGAACACTTGCATGTTGTGCTGAGAGTTTGTATTCCACACATTACTTACCTCTATGTATAGAGACTTGTCTGCTGTTAAAACTCTCTTTGGGTGGCATCTGAATACACATTAATCTTGCTTTATTCTGTGACCTATTTTTATTTGTCATTGCCACTTCTTGGAAGTTTATTTTAAAGAGGGTTTCTCTGGGGACTTGAACTCCTAGCCTCTGTATATCATCACAGAGGCCTGTACTCTTGTGCTGTTCCAGATGTTGTCAGCTTAGAAAGCGCTTTTATGCAGCAGAAGAGCAATGGTGTCACTCAGTCTGAACAAAATGACGACTAGTTTGTTTCTTTTTCTTTTCGTCCTTAATAAGAAAGGAGATACTTTACAATTATTGAATAAAACTGCAGTCAGGTTTTGAACCCTGTCGTCCTATCTTCTCTAAGCAAGGGAGTAAGTTTCCAAATGCTGTACGTGTTTTAAGGTAAATATATAGAAATTACAGACTTCTACCTTTAAGCTGCCTAAGCTCACCAATGAATTCAGACCTTTTCCCTAGCTCTTACTGCCTTTGCTTTAACACTTCTGCTGCAGTGCCTGTGAAAGGCATGAAGCAGTGTACTTAGACCAAGTTAAAAGATTTGCTTTTCCTCCTGAAAGTATCTGCTGAGTTCTAAGTGTTGATCATTTTTCTCGTTCACCTCAGATTAAAGCCATTGTGCAGGTCGTACAGCAGAAACACAGAACCCAGCTACAAGCCCTTAGGAACACTGAAGAGAGTCCACAAGAGAGACTTATCTGACACAGGTAAAGGTTCTGTGGTGCTACTGTGCCCTAAAAGAAAGTGTGAGACTGAGCAGAGGTGCCAAAAGCCACAGTGTTCACCGTAGTCTGTCCGTGTTCAAAGCAGCAGTTAGAAAAGAGAAATATAAACTAAATCGGCTTAGGTTTTAGGAGGGTGAGAGAGCACTAACTGTGTAAAATTGCACTTGTTTGCGATCTTAAAATGTACTTAATGCTTAACAGCCCTTTAAGTTTCTGGAAGAATTCCATTCCACAGTCCTAGACCATCTCTCATCAAGCTATTTCTAAAAGAACTTTACGTGTGTTACCTCCTGTGTTGCAGGGGACACAGTGCTGGATCAGTAGAATTGCTCTTCTTCCTCATCTCAGACTGATGGCTTTTCAGCACCTAGTAGCTTGTTAAATTTATGATGGTAAGAGCGTGCTGTATGTAGCCTCTGGAAAGCCACTTGGGAACTAGAGGACAACTTTGTGTCTGCTGCATTCTCTTTGGCTATTTTGGAAGTGCAAGTGTGCAAGGGGGATTAGTCCTGGCAAAACCTGTCAGAGGTCTGAATAAATGTGTTTACCAGGGCTCTATCCGATCTGTAGCTAACCTGGAGGATGGCAACTATAGCTTTCCTTGTAAGGCACTGTGCTAGACAAAGCAAGGCGAACACTGTCAGTCATGTCCTGCTGAGTGTCAAGTGTTTATTAAAACTTTGTTCTCAACAGAATTTTATTAGAGATCTGAACTTAGTGGTTTTTTTTTTCTTTCTTGACAGATGAAGATGATCTCTTTGATACAGAATTAACTCCTGCAAGGCCCAAGATTCCAAAACAGCAGAGAGAAGACAGCAGACACCCCAGCACAGGACAATCTGAAAATGCTGAAGGAAACATTAATAAGAGCACAGAAAGTTACAAAGCAACCACAACTTACACCTCCCTCAAGGTAGACTTTGTGGATTGTGAGGAATCAAATGATGATGATGACGAAGATGACGAAGAAGAATCTGAAAAAATTATTGTTCCAGTTCTTTCCCATGAGCCAGATGCCACTTCCACATCAGATGTCAATGGACTAACTAGTGGCCAACAGGAGTTTAATGCTGATGTCCCTCGCTGGGATGCATTTTTTAAGTGTAACAAACTAGAAGAAAGCTCTGAAAATGAGGACTACTTCCCATCTTCAGCAGATGCTGGTGGGTCCCAGTCACTCTTCAGTGATTCGGATGGAGTAAGTGACTCAACACACATCTCCTCCCAAAATTCTTCTCAGTCGACACACATATCGGAGCAGGGGAGCCAGGGCTGGGACAGCCAAATTGACACAGTGCTCATCACCTCCCAAGAGAGAAACGCGTTGGACTTCAGCTGCTTCGGCAAAGGTGGGAGCAGAACAGTTGTTTCTGTATTGCAGGAGATGGCCAAAGACAGTCCAGCTGACAACAGCAGGTCAAAGCCACTGGGTCAGAACAGATCTTGTGCCTGTGACGTCGCCTGTGACTTGAAAAGCAAAGGCTGTGAGAAAGATGCAGAAGCTGGCACAGCTTACATTCAAGATGTGCTGGTAGAAATCAGTGACAGCTCCAGAACTCCTGATCTAGAACTGAGGAGGGACTCTGAGAGCTCCTCCGACTTTGAAATTCCCTTGACTCCTGGTGCTGAAGTGCCTCAGCCAGATAAACTGCACTGTTTGTATAAGAAGCTAGCAGCAGGTGAAAACATAATGAGAAAAAAAGTTTCCTGAAGACAGGTATAACTGTACATCATGATAATACCAAAATTTGTTCATTAAACTCTAAATTATTTTTCTCTTTAGTGCTGATTACTATCTGCATCTATGCTGATCGACAGTGTTTTTCAGGAATATCTTACTGTCATAAATAGGCATTTGCAGCCTGTGGAACTTCCTAATTCCTTCCATGAAATACTGAAAACGAAGTATTCCTAGAAGGGACTGTAAAGGCTTTCTACCTCCCAAGGTTCAGCTCTCCAGGACTGTAAGTAGACCAAAAAAGGACCAGACAAAACTAAGGGTAGAACACTAAATGAAATTTAGTGCTGCTTCTTATGAGCTCTAAGAGTTTGCCTTTGGTATATATGTGATCTCAGGTTTTAATAAAATACCACATTTTTAACTGTGGGAAAGAACACAACATCTTCCAGGAACAACCATGCAAACAATGCAATAGTTGCACTTTCATCTTCAGTTTTCACTGCAGTTATTTTTAAAAACAACTACAGAACAGATGAGAGAATTACTGACAAAAGTTTTTTTTTTTTTTAATCAAGTTGTTCTTTTCAAGCCATCTCTCTTTACACTTGAGGAAGTGTTGCCATCCCATTTAACTCCTGAATGAGGTGCTATACACCACTGTCTATGGTTTAAATCTTAGCTTATCATCAGTTCCTCTGTGTTTTGGTTAGTTCTGAATTGTTTTTCAGAACAACTTAAAATCCTGTGGCATGTGGTTCCACAGCCACCAGCAGTAGCCTGCTTTGGCGGCTGAGCCACAGCAACAGAAGCTGACCTGTCATCCTGGACAGGTTGTTCTGTTGCTCAAGGCTCTCACATTACCAAATTTCACCTTTTCTGCAACATTCTATTGACTTTGCTGAATGCAGACATGTTTAGATTCCATTTTCAAATCAAGACAATAGGTCGTCCATGTACAGGTCCTCTCATAACTAACCTTTTGCCAAAATTCTTAGCGCTTAAACTGGAACTGTAATTCAGGGTTTTGTTAAAATGCAGTGCCTACAAAAATGCCTAGCCATCATCTAAAAATCCATGTGGTCTTCCATCCATGTGGTCTTCAGTCCCAAAGAATTAAACAGATTTTTGGTATTACAGTTCTCCCCTCTGTGTACATCTTAAGTCTTTCTGGCATCTTTAATGAAACAGGAATATTAAACCAGACAGCATTCCGCTATTAGCAACAGTGGCCAAGGGGAAAAGGAAGGAAGAAGAAAAATTGCTATCATCGATGCATGGTCTTAAGGATACTCCAGTGCCTGTATTTCTCCAGTGTCGCCTTGTCCACTCCAGTCTTGGTGTTTGTTAATGTAATTTCCAAATGTGGTCCATCAACACTTTGTAAGCAGGCTTGAGTGAAACTGCTGTTGTAACTACCTCTGCGAATAAAGTCATAAATACAGAGTGGAATTTCTTCTGTTGGCTTGTTTCCTTCATTGTACTATACATTTAAGTTCAGGGCTGTGTTTACAGTGTGCTTAAATATACAGAAACCCCATCTGCTTTAGACAAGTTGAGAGTGTAAATTTCTACCAGTTCTTATCGGCTACAAACTGAATAGGAAACACATGACTTCCTCTTGATCGCTCTACTACAGTCTGTATAGTGCTAGAAAATTTGGGTACAGGACAGGAGTTAAAAGGGTGCAGTCTTAAAGCAAATTCTACTGCTACAATTAATTCTGACATGCTGAGATTTTTTTTTTTTTTAAGAATGACAACAACAAGAGAAAAACTAAATGTAATTTATTTTATCAAAAACTATAGGAAGATAGCAATACTAGAGATCACACATTATGAAAAGAAAATGTTCCTGAGCTTACAAACTGCATATTCTAATGTACATAGTCCTAAAACATACATTAGAAATAACCAAAAAATTGACTTAACTTTGAGATTAGATAAATTAACAATAGCTTTTCTTACAGGTGATCTTGCAGCTTTAGTTTTGCTACCAAAAAAAAAAGAAAAAAATTAAACCCAACAAAACAAGAAGAGGATAGATCACAGGTTACCAGTCCCTAAGAAGTGCATATCCACAACCGAACTGGTGACCCTGATGGTGCTAACAGACCATAAAGCAAAACAAAGGCAAAAGCTAGGCTGGTTGAGGCTCCTACAGAAATTGAAGAGAGCTTTTTCTCCTTTTCCAATTTGGCAATTTCCCCCTGAACGCATAAAAGCAGCAAAAGGAGTTTTACAAGTGACAAGAGTCTCCCATTAAGCTAACTCACTGACTGAAATCCAAATGCACTGTGAACATGTAAAAATAAAATACTGTTCAAGGCTCTAACTTGGAAACTGGATATGTGGGTTTACTTCAAATAAATACAAAATTCTGTTACCTCCCAGAGCATAAATGAACAGTCCTTTATTTCTTGCACAAGAGGTAACACACATACCCTTAAGGAACAGCAGTGTTATTCCAATGCTGGTGATAACATACCCTGCCTTGGGAAAAAGGCAGACACTGAACTCAAGTACAACTACTAAGACATTTATCTTTTAAAATACATTTACTTGCCATTTTTAAATCAAACTGGGCATGGACATAGACAAAAAGAGTGTCAAGCCAGCCCTGTGTCACCTTGTACAGGAGAGGCCAGAGATTTGGTAAGGAATCCATTTCTTGCTGCAGCCACTCTCGCCATCCTGTACCGACAGGGAAGGCTGCAGACTGCAGCGGATTAAGGAGCTGGAGACTGCAGATTCCATCCACATGGAATGCATCGCTGAACCGGGCTACGTGCAAGAGAAAGCACTAATGACTCCAAATGATGTAAGGTTATCTAGAGTTTGCTAACATTAAAGTTCCACATTCCACTTCAACCCATATTAAAAAAAAAATAAAAAAAATCACTAGAGTTGTGGCATGATAAAAATTGACTAGATTCAGCATTTATCCAAGTGTGTGGATACAGGTGAGCCTGGTAATTTCAAATACTTTTAAAACTAAGCAAACTTTCTCCTATTCATTAAGCAATATAAAGGATCTATTTCAACGTGTATCTCTCTGTATTGTAGATTACAAAACTCACACAGCACTTTCAGTGGCCCCCAACCTTCACCCCAACTGTGAAACTGATTTTGGCTAATAGCGTATAAAATTTCACTTTCTGCCAAAGAGCCAAAACTTCAGTGCAAATGCAACTGTGCTTCCTAATGAACAAACAACCTGTATTATCCTTTGAAACACTCTTCTTAGAGTGCTAGTAACTAACATGAAATTTAAGGCATTTTCTAACAAATTAAGTAAACGGCTATATGCTGGATACTCGACTTCATTCACCTGAGCCAACAGCTGTGCACCTTATAAAGGTAACTCCCTGACCTATGATACATAGCTAGCATCCATTTCTGAAGCATCCATTTATGGAGCAACATTATTCTGCCTGACCCTATCAACATTTACATGATTTGTAAGCAATACGCAAGTTTTACAGCCTTTTAATCCATGAAAATAAAGCACTTAGATCATCCCCGGAGCATGGACCTCAGCTGTAACTCCACTCAGAATCTACCTCAACTGCTCTTCAGTGGTTTTGAAGCCAAGCAAAACTTAGAATACATTACAAATAGATCGAGACAACTTTTCAGATGATCAGGAAAAAAAAAAAAAAAAGACGACTCAAGTAGCTGAAGAACAGTACATTTCTCAGCCTTTACATTCAAGAACATCTTACAAATGTCTACAGCAAAACAGGTAAACTCCCCCCTAGTCTAACTTCACTGAAGTTAACATTTTGCAACAAGAAAAACCAGGCCTAGTATCTTAAAAGTCTGTCACTAGGTAAAAAAAGTCACAGCATGTAAAAACTTGATCAAAACCAATTGTGAATACAATTCCCAGGGTATTTCTGCACCTAACAGATAACCGAGCATATCTCCGTAATACATCAGCTTTGTTAGACAGCAGGCTGCTCCCCCTATTCTTTTGTTATCTATTTCCAAACTGTAGCCAGTCATTTGTTTCAGCAACGACTGACAAATTTCTGCAATTAAACAAACTGCATATGTTACTACTGATAATCCAATATTTACAACTTCTCTGTAGAACTGGAGACCTCCTATAGCATCCTAACTAAAAACCAGAACGTAACAACTGGATAAACTTCTACACGTAAAACTCCTAAACAATATACATCAACTACAAACATTCAAGACCTTGATCTTGCATCTGGAATCTGCTAAAACCACTTGCTTCACTTGCATGGAGTTCAATGAACATATTAGGTCTGCTTTCCTGTGAACCTTTGTTTAGACACAGTCTGATAGCTGTCCTTAATCTTTCACCTGGTGCCGTAAATGTTATTGCTAATCTCTTGATGCTTTTATTTATACAACAAAAAAAGCAAAAGAACTGTCAGCTATGATTTAAGACTCAAATCAAATGCCTCCAGACTTTTCAAGGTACAGAAAATGTGATGTCCCTTCATACCACTGAAATCAGTTCCTAAAAGGCCTACAGCTGTAAGCTCACAGTCAAATATTCAAATCAAGGTACATTTTAGAGTTTTCTTCGCATAGATTTTACTGCTTCCTAAATAACAGTTCTAGAAAAGTCAAAATTTCCATTATCAATTTTTTTATTTGCCTGAAACACTACATCTCTTTCTTTGGCCAGTGCCATTTCAATTACAAATGTAATGCCTTGTTTCCACTATACTTATTTACATTAGATGTAAGAATACTTGAATATATGTGTGAAAGAAGAGTCTTCTTAAAACGCATTTAAAAGAGAACAAAGTATTTGTGACTTTGGATACCCGAACTCAGTTGAGATAACCTCTGCAACATACAGATCCGCATTTACAGACAGTTCTGATCCTCTTTCTGGATGGGCTAAGACCATCAGCAGAGTCTGAAGACAGATCTATTGAACCTGTGACACAGACAAACACAAATAACGAAGTTTTAAAAAAACAGGTCAGAACTGTGCTCGGTATTCGAACGGCTTCAAAACCCTTCTACCAGCCCAGTACTTAAATGGATCATGTGTGAAGCTATACTCAAACTCTACCAACACCCACCCCACATTACACTGCTTACACAACACCTAGCACATGTATCAGAACCCAAAGCTCAACAAACTCAAGCCTTGTACCCTCAGGTCCGTATCCACACTGGTCAGCAGAGAGCGCAGCCTGCCTTGAGCATGTGTCAAAGACACCACAAAAAAGAGCAGTTTTAAGGATTTCAATAAGATCAATTTGTCAGCACTGAAGGAGAGCTTCTACGGGACTGAGGTACAGCTCTGGAGTATAGAAATGCTTCTTTGAAAACTAAACAGCAGGGCAAACAATACACTGCTCTTGTGGATAAATGGTTTGGATGCAAGTTTTGACACACACAACACACCTGACAGTCAAAAATTTTTTATTGTATTGGAAAAAAAAATGAAGTCACAGAACGGTTAGGGTTGGAAAGGATCTTAAAGATCAGCTACTTCCAACCCCCCCTGCGGCAGGGACACCTCCCACTAGCCCAGGTTGCTCAAAGCCTCATCCAGCCTGGCCCTGAACACTGAGGGGAAGATCAATTACCGAAGAGCCAGCGAACAGCCCAGGCTGGAAGAGACCTCAAAGGATCGTCTAGTACAACCTTTCACGGGAAAGGGAGCCTAGATGAGATTATTGAGCACTCCGTCCAATTGCATCTTGAAAACCTCCAGTGACAGGGATTCCACCAGGTTCCTGAGGAGGTTGTTCCAGTGAGTGACAGTTCTCACTGTAAAAAATTTTGGACCATTCTTCTGTCCTAAACACCTGTACCACTGAGGCCTACAGACACCAGAATCCAAAGACAAACCTGTGGTGCCTTGTACCACTCAGCCGTTACAACTGTCTTTACAACTATCACTAGCAGATACTTGGAGAGTGGTTTACCCGAAATGCCAATTTGACTAAAGGAAAGCTTTGTGTTAATGGCAGCCTGACGATTCCTTTGAGCATTCTTGTGACAAATCTTCAAAATAATTTGCCTTGTCAGATGTTCCAGCCACAAGCCCTTGCTGTGAGCCAAGGAGAGCTGAAGGAGGTAATGCACCAGAGGTTCATGCAGAAGCTTCTGGGTGCGCTACGTCTGCGCTACACATCAACAAGCGGTGTCTGTTCTAGAATCCACAGAGCTGTGTTAGGAGATGCAGTGCCTGACCTCAAATGCTATCACCAGTTAGGCTGCAACAAAACCCAACAGGGCCCCAGACCTTCCACATGAACAGTGTTAAAATCTGCAGACCTTTCATCTGATAGTCAAAAGTTAGCTCTTCTCCAGCCTTGATGGTTCGTGTAGAAAACAGTGCTATTCGGGGAAGACGCAGGTCAAGGTTATCTATAAACACGTTGAAGACTTGAAGATTTGGATCACACTGTAAGGCAAAAATCAATGTAGTTTCTGTTAAGAAAAATGCACAATAAGTTTCAGTAAAGTGTTTAAGCAAACCAAGGTCACAGGAAAGGAAGAACTGGTTCTTCTCTCAGTGACAGAAGTCTGAAATCAAGTTATCTTCTGAAATGCTGTATTTAGGTTTAAGCATTGCTTCCAGGCCAGAAATAATATTTTCATACTATGAATTAATTTCTGTTTTCAGTTGCTAACCTGCTTGGCTTCTGAATTATCTGCTATGGGCTGTGGGCAGGGGGAGGGTCAAGGACACTAAACAGGAAGTAGAAACCACTTTACTGTTTTTTCTAGATTATCAGTCGTCACTGAGGCAGTTTGGTTTTGCACATGTTTTTGCTCTAACAGTAGAATATATCCCACGTTAAAGAATCAGAAATGAAGTTAAATAACTTTACACTGAGGAGTGAGAATACTTCACTCCCATTTCCGAAAGCGAAGAACAACTAGCTCTATCTAAACTCTTCTTCATCCTTCTCCCTGGCAAGCCTGCAGGAAATACAAACATCATCAGCTCACAGATCTGAAGACATGAATTTACTGTATTTGTACAACACTGACTGTATACCTCACAAACATTACTTCAGTAAGAAATAATAATTTTTAGTTCAGGAATGATATATAATTTTACAGATGCAGTTCAGCCTTCTTGCTTTAGGTGATTGTGTTGAACAGGAAAGAAAACACCTCAAAAATGGTTTAAAATTTACTTTGAAGTTCTCTGTCAAGTTTAGATTTCATATGAAGAGGGAAAAAGGTATCTACAGAGGAGAAATACCAAAGGAAGCGTAGGAATTTTAGTTTTTTCCTATCGTCTTTGACTCTTCACTAATTTTATTAAGTACTTCTCACATCTTAGGTCTTTTAGTTACTTGGAAAAAAACACATTCAAACTACTCTATTTTGGTTGTCTAGAACCAGTAGATTCAGTGACAACCCAGTCCTACCAGATGCCCACTTCAGGCAGCACCTCATTCCCAGAGTTTTGTAGGCAGTCCTACTCCGAGTAGGGCTAAGAATTCTGTTCTATGTATTATGTCATCTGACTGGACTGCGCTGGCATCGAACAAACTCCAGAAAAAGTGTGAATATGTTGAAATATTTAGAGTGAAGACATTTCTAGCACAATTATCACAATTTTCCAAATTCTTAGTATACAAAACAAGGTCTTACGCTGTGATTCACAAAGTGGGACACATTTCCATATCGAGCTGCATCTACTGTAAATTCATCTGAGTCATAGTCCAAATCAAACAAGTATGTATTGCCCTGGTTGTCATAGAGCTGGCCTCGTCTCTCTGCTTCCTCACTTGTAATCACCTAAAAAAAAGGAAAAAAGAAACCTGCATCATATTATTAACTATTACTAAATTAAAACAAAAATCACAATTAAGTTAGGAAAAAACCTTTACTTAGTAAAAAATACCACATTTGCTTTTTGATGTTGAAACAGCATTTCTTCTCTAATGAATAAAGAACTAATTAGCTAAACTAATTAGTTAGTGACTGAGGCTTCTGGATGGAATTTGTCTACAGCTGATGCACACTACTACCTTGTTTCGGGGAAAAAAAAAAAATCAGTACCTTCTATTAAGAGTTTTGATGGTGACAGATACAATCAACTGGACCCAGAAAGCCTTGCTTATGTCACGTAAAATAAAGGTTCAGTTTTCTCCCTTTGCAAGATTAAGATCAACAGGTATCAGTCTTTACAACTCAGTCATATTTACAGTCCAGCATTCATCTCCTCCCTCCCTAGAAGCATCTCTTCCTGCTGTTTGTGACTGCAATGAAAGATCCTATTCATTAGGACACGACAACTTAGATGCGTCACCTCACTAAGCTGAATCTATGCAACTAGGCTAGCACGGACTAGCACAAGGTGTAAATCCAGACGCTCCCCAAAGGAACAGAATATGGTCACGTCTGGCAGAAGCAACAGCTTGAACAACTTCATCTGCAGCCTGTTATGTTAAATGTATTCTGTTGTGCTGACTCAGCAAAGAAATCACAATTTGTCAGCAAGACAGATATGAAATGTGGTGGAATTGGACCAAAAAAACCTCAAAACTCTTTCTGACAGGTTAGATTTGAGAACTTATTCAGTAGTAGGGAACCAGTAGATTCAGGTGAAAAGGTAAATACACACTTTCCTTTAAGCAACAAAATTACATAATCATCTTTCTGCATTAACCCCTCAACAGAGATATTTTGAATGACTGACAAGAAACGTATGAACATGAGAAGCTCGAAGATTTGGGGCAGGAAGGATGGAGGAAACACAATAAAGACCATAAACATCAGTACAAAGGGACAGAAGGAATTATTCTGAGACAACTTAGTAGCAAGGCAGATTTGTGGCAGAAATATAACAGACTGGATCAGAGCTGCCAGGAGCTACTGAG